TTAAATGACAGATCAATCGATGCGTATCGTAAAGCACTCTACGCCACTGGGGGAGGGGGAGGGGGGGCCTCGTGGCCTTCCTTAAGAGATCCGCAAAACTAGGGCCCACAAAAGGATATCGGAGGCCTGGTTAGGCTTGTTATTGCCATCAAACTAGAGAGAGCAAAATCCTAAGACGACCGGGCGATTTATTTTCCACCGCCTTTATCCGGCCTGTACTGGCGCCACAGAATGTCGTCATCTTAATATATAAATTGAAAAATAGAATGAAATTGTGAATTAACCTCTGTACTAATTGCGAGGGGCGTTGGTTCATTTGAAAGGCGTTGTACTCAATGCTTCGGGAAAATTATAAATTATTTTCTGGGGTTTGTCCCCGATTTTTAAATCCCTAAAAACTCATAAATTGGATGAGGGGAAGTGGGGTTTTTTTCTTTTTTGTTTTTCGGAAAAGTTTTGTTGCTACGCATCTTACTTTACTATTTGCTGTCTTTTTATCAGCTGTTTTCATTTAACAATCATCATTAAATGAGGTTACCTCCAACACTTAACTGCCATCAACTTACATTTTTCTTTTCCCGCGTTTTTTTTACGCTTTGTCATATTATCTTCCCGCGTTTTTTCTTTTCCAATTTTACTCCCAAATCGTGATTGGCTCCATCTTTTTCCTATTTCCAATTTTTCCTCATCAAGTCAATAACCTCCAATTTTTCTTTCTCATTTCCAATCAGAACGTTTCACACTGTTAGTTATTTCCTTTTCAAAAGGAGGAACGAAAAAGAGAAGAGTTGAAGGAAAAATTTGAAAAAAAGCAGACCAGAAATCGGAAAAGAAGAAGCAACAATTAAAAGGAAAACAGAGTAAAGTATTTAGAAGATTAACAAACCGATACTAAAAACTTAGTTTGAAAACATAGGTAAAAGCTTAAAAAGAAGTTTGTATGAAAGGTTTAAAAAAATTTTGATTGAAAGTTTACAAAATAAACTTACAATTTTTGAAAAAATTTGTTATATTTATTACTTCAAAGAAAAAATTAGGACCTATTCAAAGACAAACCAGAAAATTAAATAAAAATAAATTTTAAAAAAAAGACATGTGAAAGGGAAAGGTGTACATAAAAAATGAGGGGCTGCGAAGCAGCCCTGTAAGCCCCTAGTTTTACAAAATCTTTAATCCAGCTGAGGAGCTGACTAATGGTTGAACGAATCGCTATGTGTAGATGATGTAATTCGTGTCAAATATGCGTAGAAAGATGTTTACTTCATTCTTCCAGTCGAGTCAAACATTTCTAACCGGGTTTGCGGGCGTGCTTGACGATGTGGCGATTGATCTGCCCAGAGGCGGAGCCAGTAATTTGGCAACACCGGATTCCCTCCATTTAAACCTATGCTAAATAATCGATTCTTGTCGAAGCACCTGGCCCCTCCAAGAACCGATACATTTCCACAGGTTTAAATTGAGACAAGCAATGTTGCCAATTTGCTGGATCCGCCAATGGATCTGCCATTTAAACTTATGCCAAGGGATCCATAAACAGGGTTTTCGCAACAAACACCTTTAGGTTATTCGTCAAGCTCAAGTGGCGTGGTCGAACTGGCAAACGATATATCGCATCGATTAGGTAAAAAATCTTGGCAGATTTTGAATTTTTAGCAAAAACATGGACGATAGCCCCTGCCCCTGCACATGATCCTAAAGAATCATTCTAAACCCAAAAATCGGCGAAATTCAGAGAAATGAAAGTAGGATAGTGTTTGGGAAAAACCTCGCATTCAATACAAAAATCGATAGCTGAATCGAATGCAAAGTTTTTTTCCATACACTATTCTGCTTTCATTCCTCTGAACTTTGCCGGTTTTTGGGTTTGGAATGATTCTTCAGGCTCATGTGCAGGGGCTATCGTCCTTTTTTTTGCTAAAAATTCAAAATCTGCCGAGATTTTTTACCTAATCGGTGCGATATATCGTTCGCCAGTTCGACCACGCCAATTGAGCTCGACGAATCACCTTAATAATCGATTCTTTACCGAAGCTTGAAATGAGGAAATATCGATAATCGACCATTCTCGTTTCGCCACTGGGTTGCTGTCTTTATCAGCAGCAGCGATTCTTCCACGTTAGTGGTATCCGTTTTCCTCCATTTAAATAAATAAATAAAAATATATATTAAGCGAGGCGGTCTGTTTCGATATGCGTCAACCATTTTACGTGCGTTTAAGTAGATGAAGCTCATTGATTGCTAACTCGCTGGAGTCACAATTTCACACAGAGAACCATGACATGCCCAATCGCCCACGTACACGCGATAAATTCACAGACAGGTCGTCACTTACGTGGAATAGTTTCTTTGCTTCTACTCAGACTCATACACTGAGAAAAACATCATTTTTAAAATTACCCGGAGACAAAATATTCCTTTAAAATCAATTGTAATTTCTTTCAAAAGATTGAATATTTCTTCTATCATTAGGGGTCTTCCTCGCTTGCCTGGAAGGTAAAATTGAAAAGCCACTTGTCTTGTTCCGTACGAAATGAACAAATTATCAACGTTAAATGTTTCAAAACGGGCACATACTAAGAAAAAAACAGTTGAAGAAGGAAAAAATCACATTGTCCTTACACCTCGCATTCCAGGAAGTCTTTTTCCTCTGTCCAACATACCCAAGGTTTCATAAACCCCGGCAATGCAACTATTACGGCTCTCTTATGTGTAGCCGTAATTGCATCCTCCTTATTTGAAGGCGATTTGAACGGCAGCCGTGGCTTTTGGAGCTTGCTCTACGCGCACCGCAGCTCTTCCGCGCATTGAAAACGATTGATCGCAAGGCGTCGCGAATCGCTGGACTGAAAATTCAAGTTTTTGCAGGAATTTTCGATGAAATTTTTCTCATTCCTGAAGGACTTCATCCAGTGGCGATCGACCCTTTTCCGAGGCAAACCCATTTTTCCTCTTTTAGATTCATCATAAATCATGAATTTAAGGCAAGGCAACCTCTCATGATGTTCCTCTCCGTGTATTTGAACGTCCGGTTCTACTTATTCCCCTTACTTTTCCTCTTCAGCTATTACACGATTTTCCTCCTCCCCCTCAACCTCTCCGTACTTTTTTCTTTTCCTTCTCCCTCTTGTTTTCCTACTTTCCGTATTTTTTTCTCGGATTCTTCCACTTTTTCTCTCTTTTTTTTCAAATCTTCCTTGTGTTCCTAGTGGGCCTAACTTTCTAGGGGGAGCGGGGTCTGAGCTTATGTTATGGGTGCGTCAAAAGGGTAAGATAGTGTGGGGGAGGGGGGGTGTTAAGCGTTGAGTTGTGTAATGCCGAAATTCGAGGGTAGCGTAAATTTAGTCAATAGGTATTTACGAGAATGAAAAATCGAGTCGAGGTGGCAAATGGACTGAATTTTGCAATTTGGAACTATACATTTTGGGTCTTCTGGCATAACACTTATGTGCATAGGGAAACTAATGGCACATACGTTGTTTTTAAACCGTGCTAGAATTTATAGTTCCAAATTGCAAAATGTAGTCCAAATATTCATCGAACATTCAGGGTCGGACTGGCTCGCATCTGAGGGCGTAGACCCTTGGCTGGTTAAAGGGGCGTAATGTGATATTTCCTGATGGGGCATCTCCTTCGTGGAGAGGGGTTCAGAAAATTTTGGAGAAGCAGCACAAGTTTACGCTATTTTCAGGTTCAAAGTTTATTAATCGTACAGAGTAAAAATTGTAAAATTGTACGTATTGAAGTGACCGGCAGACTTCTGAAATTAAAGAAAACAAAAAAATTAAAGCCACTAGACGCATCCAAGCACCATCATTTCCATGAGAACCGCGCCAGTGGTGCGGTTTACACGAGCTTAAGACGTGGGTCTAATAATCCATCCTAAAAGAGAATCAGGCAGGAACCTGAAAAAAGAAGAAAGAACGAGTATCAACACAGCCGACGACAAGAAAGACGTATTCGGGCCTCTTTTTTAACTTTTCTCCCGAATCTGAGCGACACCTCATTGGCAGCATATTGCAGGGCATTGAGAACTCACGCTTCGCGTCATCGCGCCTTCAATTTTTCAGACGCAGCACGGACGTCCATCAAGTACGAATAGTTGTATCTCTGCGCCGTCGTTAGCGTTCATCCTTTCCCTCGCTTTATTTCCATGAGGCATCATGAAATTTCATGAATTTATTTAAAACTTCCGCAGTGCTTTCAGTACTAGTCAGTAGGCCATGATACGCGCAAAACCAGTTGAATACTTTATCTGACAAAACATATGAGTCAAATTTCGAAGTTTCGGATAATTATTACATATTGGTCATTTACAATTAGTCACATACACAACCCCTGAAAAATCGTTGAGATTGCATCAAATATGAAATTAAGGACTTTCCTCCCGGGGAGGGGAGAGGGGAGTGTTGACTTGAGAAGAGGAGAAAAAATTGCAACCTCTGGATTACGGACAGAGTTAAAAAATTTCGTGAAAGATTATAAAAAGAAATTTCATTTAACACTCGGAATTCAGGATTAAACCCTATAAACTTATGAATCTCCTTAAGTCCCTTCATACGCACGTAGTAAACTGTGAAATGGAACTTTAGAAATGCCCAGAAAGTTGAGTAAAACAGCAAAAACATAATTTTGAATTTTTTTTCTCAAATTTTGGTTGAACACACAGCCGTACCGGTTGAACACCAAAATAAATTTTACGGATAAAGTAAGTATGAGCCAGAAGAGACCGCGCTCCAATTGGTCTAATTGACGAATATTATTCACTTTAAAAATAAAAACAAATTCTGTTAGAAAAAACACGCATTTTTGACATTTTGTCGGTCGAAAGAAATTTCATGAAATTTCTCGTGAAATTTCATTTGATGAAATTTCTTCTATTAGAAACTCTGATTACGGAGTTTAGCCATCGATTTGGCAACGCTCACCTTCACCCTTGACGGTGGCGCCTAGTGGCGCCGGACGGAAATAGCGGCCAACTTCGGAAATTCTCCACTGGCCGTGTGATTCGTCAATCAAAACACGTTAAGCTACGTCAACGTAAATCTCGTAACTCTGCAAACTGCGGTGTGTGAATGTAAGGCCATGATTCTCCGAATCAGAGCCCCAGATCAGTTATCAAAATTACCGTGCGACTTTTAGTGTGCGCCATGACGACAGCTCGTCACAAATTCTAGTGCGTTTTCTGAGTGAAATCGTTTTAAAATTGTCATACAATGGTGAGTTGATCGCGGACTAATCGTGGGGTGTTCCATGCTGCTGTTGACATAGATCCAAACCTCAGGTTAGAGAATCACCTTTTTACCCTCAAATTTCTTATTCTACTCAACACTTTTCTGCCTTCACAATCTTTGACGTTTTCAGTGACCTGTACTCATGCAAGTCAAGATGTGACTCCATGTCGTTCGCACTCAGGTCAGATTTTGCCCGTCAGGTGTTGCATTCGAAAGTTATGTTGTATTGTTTTATTATGATGAATGATTAGATCGTTGTCATTACTGTAGATTCAGCGCACTTGTTTGGATACTTCCAGAGTATTCTGTTGGAACTTTAGAATCTGTCACATTGATCAGCGTCGACGGCTGGTGATATAGGTTAGGTTTCCCTCAATCAGGAATATGCATTCTTGAAGGTTGACATCAGTGACATCAGGCCAATTAATGAAATTTTGTGTTTGTTGACCATGCAAGACAAGACGCATGTGAAATGGAGCCATGTATTTGGTCAGTTTTATTGATTGGTTTTATCACTGAGTTCCCGGCAGGTGAATTAGATGACCGACCAGCACCTCTTGATTGCGGATGGCTTTTCGTCAGTTCTGCCCATTATTATCATAGTGAGGAGGATAACTGACTAAGCGGATCACCTATGTATCCCCATTCTTCTCAGTCCTATCTTATCCTGTTAATGAACACAAATTCTCATCAACCAGCTTGCATGCACTAGTTATGATTTTTAGTCTCGTCATGTTCAGAGTTTGACATTACTTAGTTCTTTACTTCTATTAATATTAAGTATGTTATGCAGACCTGGGGAAAGAAAATATGAGACAAATTTTCGATCATCAGTTGGCCAATTGGTTACCATATAAGTATGTTGAATAGCGCCACTTTCCAATGTGACATTTGTCTCATCTTTTCTTTCCCTCATCTACTTGGCGACTGTCTTGATGGCTTAATACGTCAGCTCAGCACCTTTGGCGTTGTATTTTGCAGCCTTGAGTGAACTGCCAAGAAGTGAGATACCTGTTATAATCTCGATGATTTGTCCCAGTTGTGGTCGAACTGGCATGTGATAGTGTGATACATCAATCGCACTAATTAAAAAAAAATCTCAGCAGATGTAAAATTCTTAGCCAAAACAAGAATGGTAGCCCCTATGTATGAGCCTGAAGAATCATTCTAAATCAATAAATTGACAAAATTCAGGGAAGTGAAAGCAGGATCCTTTTTGGAAAAAAACCTTGCATTCAACACACTTAGTAATTTCTTAACCGAGTGCGAGGTTTTTTCCAAAAGGAATTTTGCTTTCATTTCTCTGAATTTTGCTCATTTTTTTGTTACAATGGTTCTTTGGACTCGTACACAGGGGCTATCACTAGTTTTTTAGCTAAGAAATAAAAATCTGCTGAGATTTTTCACCTCACCGTCGCGTTATATTGCACGCTAGAAACAATGACGGATCACTTAAATTAAAGGCAGATGGCGAGTATTCCATATAGTCATTGACCATGATAGGTCGGTGGAATTTTTTGTAATTGAATGCTCGGTTAATAAACGTCTCATCGTGTGTCAGTAATTCTGTCAAGAGTAGGTTTCAATACTTCCGCCTGTTCTCATTTTTTTAACGTCCAAGAAATTGATAATGCTGCATTGTGTACCAATGCCAAGGTCAACACGTGTGCATACTGCCGTGCTCAGAAAGAACGCCGTATGCACATTCAAGAGTTGCCAAATTTCTCCGGATGATACACGTATTTTTGAGAGAATTCATGCATATTTTCCCCCAAAATTTTCAGATATATTAGATTAAATTGCGAACAAAATTGTCTGAAAAATTAGGAAAATATTCCTAATTTTATTAGTAAGTTCGTTTTTATTGAGGCGATTATGGCAACGCCTAAAGACTCACACGGTGTTCTTCCTTAGCACGGCAGCATAGTTGCCAGATCGTGCTGAAAGATTAGCTCTTTTCCCTCATTTAAACCCATATTAACAATACTGCCGTGCTAAGGAAGATCGCCGTAAAAGCCTTTAGACGTTGCCAATTTTCCCTCGATAAAAACCGAATTTACCGGGAGAATCTGGAATATTTTCCCCCAAAAATTTCAGAAAATTTTGCACGCAATTTAATCTAAAATATCTGAAAATTTCAAGGAAAAGTATGCATGAATGTTGTCAAAAACACTTGCTTTATCTCCGGAAATTTGGCAACTCTCAAATGTTCATACGGCGTTCTTCCTTAGCTCGGCAGTATAAGCATTCTATCGCATAACCAAAACCTGGCAACCTTGCACGTGTAATACTACGACTCTGCAGAAATTGCACTCATTTTCCCCTCCGTCGGAAAATTGATGACCCTCGGAAAAAAAGGAGGAAAATGTTTATGCGAGGCTCGAGACCGAGATTTTCACGAAACCCGAGTTTGTAATGCGAGTTTCCTCCGTTGGGTTTATGCGAGCGCTGTGACCCGACTTAAGCGGGAAATCGAACTTTCCTCTATTTGCGCTGTTTATGCGCATCATATTTTCGATTGAACTTGAATTTCATGTTTGCCCCTCTTTCTCAAGCTATATTAAATTTATCTGCCATGAATTAATCTAATAAGATATTATCACTATTTTATCCCGTGTATGTTCCACAATACATGCGAGGCTTCATCTTCACTAGAAAAGACTTTATGGACTTTTTGAGGAATGGTCGGGAAAGTCGTATGAGCCTTCAAGCGTTGCCAAATTTTCTTTGATAAAACGCAAATTTCCTGGTAAAATGGATATTTTCCTCCCAATTTTTCAGATAATTTAGTTCGCAATTTTACCTGAAGATTCTGGAAATATATAGAGTCCCTTTATACCCAGAGTTACGACAACTCGATTATCAGCTGACTGACAGTCGGCCTTGGCTGGCCATGGAGGCCGAAACGAGTGCACCCAAACGAACGATATTGAGGGATAAGGATCAGGAATCCTGCGATGTCTGTCACACAAAAACAACAACATCAACAAATTGATCAATTAAAAAGAAAATGAGATAGGTTTGTGAATAATTTCTTAATCTATTTTCATTTTGGACCGATGGAAATAACAATTTACTCTTGATAAACCACAATTAGGTAATATTTTCATTATTCTTGTTCACATACGAGGTACCGCCATCTTGGTGCACTCGTTTCGGCCTCCATGAGCGAGAACCAATCAGAATTGGATTTTTTTTTAGGCCACTTTCAGCCCAACCCTGGCCCAACCAAAAGTGAGTTGTCGTAACTCTGGGTATAAAGGGACTCTAGAAATATAAAGGAAAAACATTCCTAACTTCCCTAAAAAAAATAAACGTTCGATAGGAAATTTAGCAACTCTCGAATGTTCATACGGCGTTCTTCCCTAGCACGGCAGTATTGTTCGACGGTTCGATTGAGACAAGACAATGCAATGGTGCCTAAAAACAAGGAAAGACTGTGGGTTTATCATCGCATTTCTCGTATCAGTGATCGTCGGCGGGCGTTGCTAATCGACGATGTCGGAATTTCGTCGTAAACCACAACATTCCTTGTCGCGCGCGTCACGCCTCCCAAAGCTTCAAAGTTCGAGCCGTGCAAGTATCTATGCGTCGGTGATAGTGGTTCGCGCGGCCTCGGGAAGTGTTGGAATTTGAAAAAAAATCGAGGTCTCAAAGGTATTTAGTGCTGTGATGACCACCCTTATTAATAAAAATTTGAGCTGAAGGCTGACTGGAATGGTCACCCTTCCTTCAGGGATAGAACCGATTCCGTATAAGACGTAATTTTATAACTTTACGACTTACACTTACACGGAATCAAGTCTTATCACTGGAGGAGGAGCGGTTGGTGAGATATAATTGACTAAATACTCTGAACTTCACCCTTAAAGTGAAGATCTAAGTATTTGGACAATTATACCTGCTGAAATGCAGTGGGAGAGCAAGATTAGTAAACTGTTGTTAATTTCTTACACATTCATGCATTCAAATCCGAGGGATTAATTTCAAGGGTAAAAATTGGCAATAAGAGCTGCGTTTCAAAATACCATAGGATTTCTTATAGCCGGCTAAAGAAGGCTGCAGATAATCATATAGCTGGCTGTAGAATGCGGAGAAAATCATACGGCTGGGCCATACGAAGCGATAAAAAATTATGCAGCCGGACTATAGTTCCTATAGCCGGGCTTTACACTTTATCGCCTGGTTGTTGCTTTTTCGCCATCGATTATAAAAGGCTATAAGAAATTAGGTAGAAATTCGTGTGCTTTGGAAATCATTGAGTTTGATACGGAACCACCTTAATATTTACAAAACACACATTATATTTTCCTTTAATACATATGCTTTTTTCATCAATTAAAATGAGAATAATCCATACAGGATGTGCGAAAATTTCAAAATCATGAGTTGATAAACGCTGACTCCGTCAGATTAAATATTAGAGCCTAACACAAAGCGAAGCGGCGACTCACTGGCGCCTACAAACCTAACAGGGATACTTCACGCATTGCGCAACGCGTGAAGTATCCCTGTTAGGTTCGTAGGCGCCAATGCGCGTTTCGCGCTGGTTGCCACGGCTCTTGAAGCAACTATTTCACACCAGAGGTAATGCACAGTATCATACGAAACTGAAGGCGCTCTAATATATTAGTAATGGCAGGCATGGCCATCAAAAGTACGGAGCTTTCCTCGCAAAATAAATCAAGATACTACGGCCAAAAAAGAGAGCGGTAGTCCAAAAACTCACTAAGTCCTAGCATCCGTAAGTAGTAACGTTTAGCATACACTTTATCGCCTGGTTGTTGCTTAATCGCCATCAGCTATAAAAGGTTATAAGAAATTGTGTAGCCGGCTACAGAAGCTACTGGAAATCTTACAGCCGGCTTTAGGTTTATGGTATTTTGGAACACAGATTCTACCGCCAATTTTTACCAGGGTTATCAAGTTAATAAAGACAAGAAACGAAAGAGAATTGGCGTTTTACAATTTATTCAGAAATTAAGTATTTCCATGTAATGGATCAAAATTCAAATTTGAAAAATTGAAAGAAAAATTAAAAATTTCAAAG